ATTTTCTAACTAGGCCACAGGCTTATTGAGGTTAAAACTCTTTTTCTTTTGCCCAACATTGCAGTATGGATGAGGCTTTGCTCTAGCTTATCGTAACTGCAGTGCACAATCGATATTTAAATCCTGAAAGATCAGCAATAATGGGTGCAAACTGAACAGATCAATATTTAGCCTTTTGTGGACTATAACTTTTATCTTAGCCCCAATTACTCCACGGCACAGGGGCTGATTTTTAATGTCTTGGGTGTTTGGAATCTCACTAAGTTTAATTTTAACAGTTACAAAGCACTTTGTAAGACACCTAGAGAGGTGTTGATAAAAATTATTCTAAAAATATGCTTAAATAGGTTTACTGTAATTTCAAGATCATTTTGCAATAATGAATTTCAATTGCGATGTGTGTGTGTGTGTGTGTATGTTTAATTTACAGGGGATCAGATAATTTTAAAATTCATGAAAAGATATTTCCTTGTAATGTCTTTGGCAATATTGCATGACCACTTGAGAGACATTTGCCCAGTTTATCTTTTTAGGATAAAAACTAATTACAAATTGAATCAAATGTTAGCATTAAGATATTGTTTAATTATTCAGGTATCACAGCATAACTAATCAATTATGATAATTTGTGTCTGAACTTCTCTAAAGGGTTTTAAGTAAATCAAGATTCTGGAAAAAATAACATACTTTCTTTAGAAACAGCAATTTCAATTTATCACTCTTTGAGAAGATAACTACTCCTAAGTGTGAGCTCTGTTCCCCAAAGCCCAAACCCCATCTAATGCTAACAAAAAACAAAACAAAACAAAACAAAACTGTACCTTTAGTGACTAAGTAAATTAGAACATTTACTATGGAGAAGTACAAAGTAATAGCCTTTTTTTTGTAGGACTTCTATTTTTAGAGAGAGAGAGAGAGAGAGTGTGTGTGTATGTTGTCTCAGAATTGAAAAGGGAGGAGTAAGACTTCCAATTATAGTAAGCATACTGCAGTTGATTACTTAAAATTAACAAAATACAAAAAGCAACTGCTTGAGGAATCTGACAAGTAAATAAGAGCAGGAAAATTGGGAAGGACATTAAAACTTGAATAAAAGCTAATATGGTCATGTTGTGTTTCATGTTTTTGTTTCTTCTTAATCTCCCCACTGTGAGATAAATTAAACTGTATGATGGATACCATCATCAAAATCTCTTGTAATCCCTCCTTCTGGCCAGAAGGCCAGGAAAAAACCCACCTGCAAGCTCAAGGGAGTAGGGATAATTCTTTGTTCCCCCCCTTTTATAATTCTCCTGCTCCAAAGCCAGCCCCAATGCAGAGCTACCATACCACATGGCAGAAGTGGCACAAATACCTAGAGATTAAGAAAAACACCCATAATCTGGATTCACAAAGAGAATAGAGGGGTATCATTAAAAAAACAATGTAAAAGAATTCCCAATATATATTTTTTTTATCTCTTCTCTTTTTACTTTGCCCCAAGAACAGGCCCAGATGCACAGATCTGTACAAAAACTTGGGAGGCCAAATGATTGAGAGAATCTTGTCTTTCTGTCTAGTGGCACCAAAACAAACAAACAAACAAACAAAACAAAACAAAAAACAAAAAATAGTCCAAACAAGCTGCAGAGTGTCAGAGAAATCTCATAAAGGAATAAGTGGGAGACCCCCTATTTGCATGTGAAACAATGCAAGTCCTGAGCTCGGCCCCAAGTGTCCTCGTGCAGAATGTACCTAAGAAGCATAGCCAAGGGTTTGAAAAGGGAACTACTGTATAAACCACTGCTACTGCTCAGGTAACAGGCAGACTTAAAGAACACAGTAAACACTATGAATATTAAACTTACATTAGATCACCTGCAGAAGGCAGTCTGACTTGCATTCTATACATGAATTGACTGCTTGCTAAAAGAAACAAAAATCAGCATTTTCAACTGGATTTTAGGAAAACCTGGTTTATAACAGTTTCCAAATGTCCAGACACTATCCAAAGTTACCCAAAACATCAGGACCCAGGACAGTTTGACCAAGAACCAGGAAAATCTGACAAATTATCAAGGGAAAAGAAAATCAACAGATGAAAACCCTGAGATGACACAGATATAGGAATTACCACACAACAATCTAAAGAAGTTATTATCAAGCTTTATGAGGTAAACATGAACACTCTTGAAATGAATGGGGAGAAATAGAAACTATAAAACAAAAGCAAATAGAAATATTAGAACAGAAAATAAACCAATATCTGAATATCCAGAGAGGCTCAAAGTAGAATGGAGATGACAGAGGAAAGAGATAGTAAAATTGAGATAGAACAATAGAAATTGACCAGGTCTGAACAAAACAGAAAAAAAAAGATGGAATACAAAATAAACAGAGCCTTAGTGACCCGTGGAATAATATTTAAATGTTTCATATTTTTATCATTAGTGTTCTTAAAAGAGGAAAAAGTAACTGCTGCACAAAACATATTTGAAGAAACAGTAGTTATAAGCATCCTAAATTTGGTGAAAGGCGTACATTCACAGATTCAAGAAGTTCAGTAAACTCCAAATCCATAACATAGCATCTGTACATAGAGAGCTCTGGATTAGAAGAAATGCTAAAAATTGATTTTAAAAAGGAGAAATATGAAAGTCCACAATTACACTAGAAGATTTCAATACCCCTTTCTCTGTAATTGATAAAGCAGTAAGACAGAACATTAACAAAGATATAAAAAATATCTTTAAAAATATCTTAACAATACCATCAACTAAATAAAAACAGGGTTTGGCAAATTATGGTTTACCAATCAGATCTGGACTGCCATATTTTTTGGTATGGCCCAGGAGCTAAATGGATTTTACACTTTAAAATGGTTGCATTATAAATGGTTACATAATTATCTAAATAGTCTCTTCAATTTTGCTTCTTGGTCTGCAAAGTCTAAAATATGTACTACTTTTAACTTTAATAGGTTGCCAATCTCTGAACTAGAAAGTGACATTTATAGAACACTCAACAACTACAGACCAGATATTCTTCCAGGTATTCATGAAATGTTCACTAAGACCATGTTGTAGGCTATAAACCAAATCATAAAATATCTAAAAGAATGGAAAGCATACAAAGTATGTCCTCTGATGATATCAGGATTAACATATAAATCTGTATCAGAAAGATATCTTGAAAATCCCCAAACAGGTTGAAATTGAACAGCACACTTCTATATAACCAATGGTTATAAGAGTATGTTACAAAGAAAAATAAAAACATTTTAATTGAATTACTGTACATCAAAATTTGTGGAATGCAGCTAAAGCAGTGCTGAGAGGGAAATTTATAGCAGTAAATGTTTGTATTAAAAATAATAAAGGTCTTAGATAATCAGAGCTTCTACCTTGAGAAATGGGAAAAATAATAGCAAATTAAGTAAAAAGCAAGCAAAATGAATGAAAAAAATAAGTATAAGAACAAAAACAATGATGTAAAGACAGAATCAATAGAATCAAAAGATAATTCTTAGAAAATATCAAGAAATGTATAATCTACCACTTAAAATGACAAGAGAGAAGATTAACATTAAGAATAACATCAATAAAAGAGGATATCACTACAGATGCTAAATCGTGAATATAGGAATAAAACAAATAAATCTACAAATCATTGTTGGAAGAAATTAAAGATCTAAATATTTGTGGGGCGCTTCGGTGGCTCAGTCAGTTAAGTGTCTGACTCTTGATTTTGGCTCAGCTCATGATCGTGGGGTCACGGGACCGAGCCCTAAGTCAGGCTCTGTGCTGAGCGTGGATCCTGCTTGAGATTCTTTTTCTCCCTCTCCCTTTGTCCCTTCCCTCCCTGCTCAAGGGCTCTTGCTCTCTCTCTTAAAAAAAAAAAAAAAATCTAAATATTTGCAAAATACTTATTTTGCAAATTTTTCAAAAAATATATATTCATGGATCAGAATGCTTAATATTTTTTTAAGTTAATGGTCTTTTTTATTGGAAAAAAAAGACTAGCATTTACAACTTGGAATGGACATAAATTGTAATTTCTTGATCAGCAATGTTGATGCTTGTGCTGAAGTCCACAGCCACAACCTACTCTGCTGGCTCCAAGTCATGGTTCAGGAGGTTTTAAAAACAGAGTCCCAAGATGCTCCCTTGGTAAAGGTTTCTTTAAAAAAAAAAAAAAAAATTGTGTGAATGGTGACAGCCTGACACCCATTTCACTCTAGGACAACACGGGACAATGCTAAACCAACACACATGGCATGCCACCGGGATGAGTGTCATGGTCACCATGGGTGGGAGTGCCCAGAAGTGTGAGAGGGCTGTCCTGCTAAGTGGGGCTACGTCTAGACAGTTTATCCTTCACTCATTTTTCTGCACAGCATCCTGAGGTAAATCAATTTTAAATGTGTTATTTTCAGTAAAGCAGTTATGACAATTTATACTAACAAATTGAACTAAAATGCATTTGAAGAAGTTTTAAATTTGTTTTTTTCATTTTTCATTTTTAATACAAATGCCTGACTGTGCTCAGCTGTCAAGCTGCATGCATGAAAAACTGGCCAGCCCAAACAGTGTATTAATCATGAGCAAGTGGAACTGCAAGGAGTCCATTAGGTGCTTCCTTATCATTAAGGTAGTACAAGTATTTATATCATAAAACTGATGTGTAGCTTGATCTTTAGGGGACAGGACCACCAACCAATACATGCAGATTTTGTGTGTGTAGACAGAAGGTACTTTTGACATTCAGTTTTGCTATATAGAAACAGAATGAGTAAATGAACTTTTTTTTTTTTTTTTTTGCAAGAGGTAAGTAAAAGATTCAATTTGATTCTTCTAGAGGGGAGGAAAGGAGTTGAAAGTAGGACTTCATTTTGCAGTCATCATCCGTACAAATTCTTCAGAGTTGACTTGCCCATCTCCATCAATATCCGCTTCTCTGATCATTTTTTTGGGGGGGGGATGTATATAATGTTCTTTTTTAAAAATTTTTTTATTGTTATGTTAATCACCATACATTACATCATTAGTTTTTGATGTAGTGTTCCATCTGATCATTTCATCTACTTCTTCATCTGTTAGTTTTTCTCCTAAGTTGGTCATGACATGACGTAGCTCCGCCGCACCGACATAAGCATTGCCATCCTTGTCAAAGACTCGGAATGCCTCATGAATTTCTTCTTCACTGTCTGTATCTTTCATTTTTCTAGCCATCACAGTCAAAAATTCTGGGAAGCCTACCGTGCCCTTTCTGTCAGCATCCACCTCGTTGATCATATCCTGCCATTCGGCTTCTGTTGGGTTCTGACCCAGTGACCTCATGACAGTTCCAAGTTCCTTTGTTGGATGGTGCCATCGCCATCTTCGTCAAATAGGGAGAAAGCTTCCTTGAACTCAGCAGTCTGTTCTTTGGTCAGCTGAGCAGCCCTGGCGCGAGCGAAGCGAAGAAGAGCCGAGGGAGCGAGGGCGGCTGCACCCGCGCAGGGGCTGTGAGGGCGGGGGCGCCTCCGCCGCTGCTGCTAAGGAGACCTGTGCGCTCAGCGCTGTGCCGAGGCGGCCGGCCGCCACCTGACTGCGAGTAACGGTGCCGCGCCCGCGAGGCTCCGAGCACCACTGCCCAGAATGCTTAATATTTTTAAGGTGGGAATGCTACTCCAGTTGATCTACAGACTCAATATAAACACTACCAAAATCCCAAATTTCTTCTTCATAGAAATTGACAAGATAAAAGTATTATGGAAAATCGTGCGATGAAGAGTAGCCAAAATCTTAAAAAAGAACAAAGTTGGACGTTTCACACTTCTCGATTTTAAAAATTTGGTATGAAGTTATGTAATGAAAACAACGTGGTACTGACACAGGGTAGACATATAGATCAATGTAAGAGAATCAAGAGCCAGAAATAAACCTTCACATCTATGGTAAATTGATTTTGACAAGTGTGCCGAGACAATTTAATGTGGAAAGAAAAGTGTTTTCAGAAACCATGTTGGGAAAATTGGAATTCCACATGCGAAAAAATAAAGTTGAAATCCTTACAACATACAAAGCAATTAACTCAAAATGGAATGTAGATTTAAATTTAAGACCTAAAACTATAAAAGGGAAGAGAAACAAAAACATAATCAAACTATTGGGACTATACCAAAATTAAAAGCTTTTACACAGCAAAGGGAACCGTCAACAACACAAAAAGGCAACCTACTGAGTGGGAGAAGATATTTGCAAATAATGTATCTGATAAAGGATTAATATCCAAAGTATATAAAGAACTTACTCAATTTCATATAAAAAAAAAACAACCACCAAACAACTTATGTGTGGAATTTAAGGAGCAAAACAAAGGAAAAAAAAAGAAAGAAACAAAAAAACAGACTCTCAAATATAGAGAACAAACTGGTGGTTGCCAGAGGGCACATGGTGGGGGAATGGGTGAAATAGCAAAGGGGAGGGGCGCCTGGGTGGCTCAGTCGTTAAGCGTCTGCCTGCGGCTCAGGTCATGATCCCAGGGTCCTGGGATCGAGCCCCGCATCGGGCTCCCTGCTCCGCGGGAAGCCTGCTTCTCCCTCTCCAACTCCCCCTGCTTGTGTTCCCTCTCTCGCTGTGTCTCTGTCAAATAAATAAATAAAATCTTTAAAAAAAAAAAAAAAGAAATAGCAAAGGGGATTAAAATAAAATTAAAATAAAATGAAATAAAATGAAAAGACAATCCATATAATAGAAGAAAAATTCTGCGAGTTATGTAACTGATGAGACCTGTGGCTGGAATATATAAAGAACTCTTATAAATAAATAATAAAAAGATAAATAGCCCATTTTTAAAAAATGGGACAGAGATGTGAATCTATATTTATCTAAAAAAGATCTACAAATGACTAAAAAGTACATGAGAGATGTTTTACAAGATTAGCTCTAGAGAAATGTAAATCAAAACCACAATGAGATACCACTTCACAGCCACTAGGATGGTTATAATAAAAATACTCAGATGTGGGGCGCCTGGGTGGCTCAGTTGGTTAGGCGACAGCCTTCGGCTCAGGTCATGATCCTGGAGTCCCGGGATCGAGTCCCGCATCAGGCTCCCTGCTCGGCGGGGAGCCTGCTTCTCCCTCTAACCCTCCCCCCTCTCATGTACTCTCTCTCTCTCATTCTCGCTCTCTCAAATAAATAAATAAATCTTTAAAAAAAAATACTCAGATGTGACTGTAAAGCAGGGCAGCTGCTTTGGAAAACAGTTTGACAGTTGCTCAAAATCTTAAAATAGAGTTCACCATTGGGCAATAACAATATTTTAAAGTTTATTGAGTTGATGTTAACTCTACAAATACACTGGACACCAGTGAATTGTACACCTTAGATGCATGACTTGTATCTATGTGAATTATATATTAATAATGCTCTTACATAAAAACAAAACAAAAACCTATACATAGGTCTGTAGCAGCTTCATTTGTAGTCACTAAACACTGAAACAACCCAAATATCCTTGAACTAGGAAATGTATAAACAAACAAAAATAAACAAAAGAAAAAGAAACTAATGATACATGCAACCCTATGGATGAATCTCAGGTGCACTATGCTACATGATAGAAGCGTCTCAAGAGTCAATATACTGTATGATTCCATTAATAAGACATTTTGGAAAAGGCAAAGCTATAGTGATGGAGCATAGATTAGTGGCTACGTGGGTAATAAATCCTGGGAGGTTTGACTGCAAAAGGATAGCCTGAGGGGCTTTTGGGGGTGATGGAACTCCTCTGTGTAGTGATTTTGCTGGTGATTACATGATTCTACACAAGTTAAAAATTTTAGACTCCCAAAAGTGTTTATTTCATTTTCAATAAATCTCATAATGATGCAATTTAAACAAACAAACAGGGCAAATTTTCCCTGTGCTTTATTTGTGCCAGGCAGGCATTCTTTTAGGGTCTTTAATGTTGCTAGTCCTAGCAATGACAGCACGGAGTTAGACACTATTATTTTCACATTCATGTAACAAATGAGAAACTAAAGGTTTGGGAGCTTGAGAAACTTAATCAAAGCCACAGAACTAATACCTTGGAGCAGGGGATTTGAACCCAACAATGTGATACTAGGTCTTAGTCCATTTGTACTGTTATAACCAAATACCAGAGACCAAGGGGCTTGTAAACAACTGACATTAATTTCTCACTGTTCTGGGGACTGGGAAGTCCAAGATCAAGGTGCCTTTGGACTCAGTGTCTGGTGAGACCAACTTCCTCAATGATAGCCATCTTCTTGCTGTCATCTCACCTGGCTGAACAGACAAGGAACCGTTCTTGGACCACTTTTCTAAGGGCCTAATTCCATTCATAAGGATTCCACCCTCATGACCTAATCACCCCCCAAAGGCTCCACCTCCAAATACCATCACATTGGAGGTTAGGATTTCAGTGTATTTATTTTGGAGGGACATAGACATACAAATCATAGCGCACTAGGAACCAGATCTTAATCTTTATACATAATGCCTTTCCATACATTGTGTTTTCTCATATGTTCAGAAAAAAAAAAAAAAAAATGCCTGTAAAGGAAGTGGGTTAGGATAATCACTGCTCCATGCTTGGGAACTACAAAATCAACAAAATCTGTACTTTAAAAATTTTTTTTACTTTAACTTTTTATTGAAGTTCAACATGTTTCAGAAAAATGAACAATTTATAAGTATATAGCTCAACAGATTTTCACAGCCCCCAAACACTTGTGTAACCAGCATTCAGATCAAAAAACAGAACATTCGAGGTCCCTTTTCTCCACCTGCCCCTAGAAATCCCTCATGCCCCTTCTGGCTACTACCCTTCCATAAATCCTGACTTCTAAGATCATAGATTAGCTTTGCCTGTTCTTGAACTTCATATAAATGGAATTATACAGTGTGTGCCCATTTGTGCTGACTTCTTTTGCTCGGCATAATGTTGTTGTGTGTATCAGTCATTCTTATTGTTATGTAGTATTCCATTATGTGACTATAACATACTTTATTTACCATTTTGTTGATAGGCATTTGGGTGGTTTCCAAGTTTGGGGCTGTTGTGAACAGTCTTGTTATAAGAATTTGTGCACTTGCCCTTGGATGAACATATGAATGCATTTATGTGGGTATGTTCCTGGGAGTGGAACTGCTGAATCATAAAATCTTTAGTTTTTTTTTACATAAAATTTATAGTTTGACAAGTCATTGGAAGACCTCTGAAAAGGATCAAGGGACCTGTGTCTGAATGCATCTCTGTCCAACAAGCTGACACAAATATTCAGTGAAGAATAAACATTTGTTGATGTGGTGCTAAGGTCATAGGTAAGTTCTACCTCTTTCTGATCTTGTACCATGGTATGAATTTTGGGTACAGATTCTAGCTCATGTGTTGGGATACACTCTAGATTGTTTGTGAATATTTTTAAGGTTACCTCCCTAAACCCTCCAGAAATTTTTTCCTAATTCAGAATTATTTCTCATAATCTATATAGTCAAAAGTTCTGCAAAATAATTAAACTAGCACATATACTAGCTTTTTATTCCAGATGTTTTGACAAATGCAAATCACTACAGTTGTATTAATTACACAGTTATCTTTAATTATTAAATAAAACAAACGAGGGCACCTGGGTGGCTTAGTTGGTTAAGCGACTGCCTTAGACTCAGGTCATGATCCTGGAGTCCCTGGATTGAGTCCCACATCGGGCACCCTGCTCGGCAGAGAGTCTGCTTCTCCCTCTGACCCTCCCCTCTCTCATATGCTCTCCCTCATTCTCTCTCTCTCAAATAAATAAATAAAATCTTTAAATAAATAAATAAATAAATAAATAAATAATACAAACCAACTGTATCCTCATGTTGGCTCAAGGGTAGTGAAATTTAAGTTTCTGAAAACTAAACTTGATGTCTTCAGTCATTCAGAATAAAATGTACCTGCTTCCTTCTTTTGGGCTAAATTGAGTATTATTTATTTTAACTGTTTATTTACCTGAACTCTTTGATTCCAATATAATTTAGCCTTTAAGCTGAGTAGACATTTATTATATTTTAATCTGACAAAACACTTATCACTGAATTTCATTGATCATAATTATGTTGTAACTATAAAATCCAGCATTATTTTTAACTTTTCTACATTTATTTGTAACCATTTGCAATTTCTTAAGCAATATAACAATGAAATATAACATTGATCCTATGGGAAATCAATCTTTAATTTTCTTAAAATATACACCTAGTTCATTAAAATAAGAGAGATTTGGACTATCAAACTTGAGGGCATCTTTATGACAACATAATATAATTGTCTCTTTTATGTTTACTAA